CAGAAGAAGCTTTCAAAATACGTGTAGGTAGCATGCCCTGTCTTTACTTTAAAATAATTCACAGAAGAATTGTGTAAAGTTGGTGAGGTGCAAACATTTATGACAACATACCTTGAGGGAGCGAAACATCCTCCGTTGCTGCTCGTGTGGACTCATCCCCCCGATGGCTTCCATGAAGCCTCCCCGCTCCACAGCACTGGCGGATCTGGGCTTGGTGGCCAAAGTCTCACTGCTGGAGTGCTCCGAAAAGGCGCGCCGGTACTCAGCAGCACTCTCAAAGGACCCCCGGCGCAGGTGGTGCTCGGTCCACTTCCAGCGCTGTCGGTCCAGGTAACACTGGGGCTGGACCTCAAAGGGGCTCTCCTGGAGACACTCGCAGCTCCTGCAGTCGCATATCCCGCTTCTGCCACCCTCCAGTAGGGAGTGGACCTTCTCGTCCTCGTCTTCTGCATAACCGTAGTCCACCGTCACGTCTTCCTCGTAGATGTAGTCGGTGTCGGGACCCATGAGAGTGAAGTAGACTGCAGTGCCACCCTCCTGCTTGAGCCGGGCCACGGCTTGACGCAGCTCTTCCCGCTGTCGGGGGTCCTGGACGCCAATGGCGTCCATGTCCTCCTCCCCGATCTGTTTACAGGTCTCTAGGTCATCGTAGCCATTGTCAATGAAGCTGTCCAGGTGGTGGGCCAGGTCTAGTGTTCGCAGCCATTCCCGGACAATGTTGTTCTCAGGGTCAGCCATTGCACTGTCTACCATCACAGATCGAGCTGTGCAACTCATTCACCTCAACCTAATTATATTCTGCTGCTGTTTTCCACAACTTGGTGTCCCAGGTTGACAAACTGTGCGCCGAATGCTGAAATAAAAGCATTTTTTTTAAAAGTGAGACAATACAAAATTCAGTACGCATGTGGTTTTACAACAAAACTACATCAAAACACTTAAAAACAGACATCCCGAAAAGACAATACCAGAAAATTATTGACTTGCTACTGCAACTCAGTTTTTCTAAAATTAAAGCAAAATTTCAGGACTCAGATTTACATGTAAAAACAACTTATTACCCAGGTCAAAAAGAGCAATAAAGGCAAGTCCTTCCTTATGCTTCTTGAAGCAATATAATATTTCCAAATTCAACCGTGCAATCACAGTGTCTACTCTACCACTTTTGATGAGATTACTACGAAGGTGTGGGGAAAATGTCACACCAAATAAAAGACTGTGATTGAAATCATATAAACTACAGAATAATTTCATGGGGTATCATACTTATACTAGGGCCTATATACTAAGCAAAAGACACACAGGTCTAACTGTAAATGGCAGATGTCGCCATTTGACACCGCTGCAAAATCGTGTTGCAATATCTGATTAACGTTAAATTTGAATGTTCTGGCTACGGCAAGTCAAACTGAAAGAAATTTTAGCACTCAACGGAACACTCGATGCAGACCCAGCCTAATGTGTCGCGGGTAGAATTGAAGTGTGTGAAGTGAATGATGAACGCCTGTATTACATTTATTTGTGGTCGTGCAGGCGTCAAGATGAAACCTCGATGACACATCGTGGCCACATGTCATTTGGATTTGTGTAAATGCACCTGGCCACAGACACCACGCTAGAAATGGACACAAAATCTTTCCCCCAAAAAACATCGTAAAGCATGCAAAGTTACCGGCCAGGCTACCCCCAAAACAACTCACCGGGATGGGTGCTGGGCAGGAAATCGTTGGCTCCGGGATTACTTCCCTTGACAAGACCTGCTTGCGGAATTCCTGGTCGAGTTCATCTCAAGCCATGATACATCGAGATGCGTTCACCACGACATCCGCACCGTGTGTGTATTCGCTGTGTGTACGTACACGATAACGAGTGCATGATGATCATGAATGGTCGGCTACCCAAAACATCAAGAGCTCTCTATCCTACGACTGTTTTGTGCCTTTGTACAGCAGTTGCACAGTCATGTTTGGATCAAGGGCGTGATTGAGCTGAAGCTGGTGGGAGAGTTGGATATCATAAGGATTACGTATTTCCTTTTCTTTTGACGCTCATTTAAAATTGGAAGTATTTTATATAGTGCCACCATTTAACGATATGTCGTTTGAGAAACATAAAGTGTAGATTAGCATTATTTATTTCTCAATAATCAGATAATAAACTCAAGCAACTCTATAAAATGACGTGAACGGGCAGTTGCTAACTCGACTGATATAAATAAAACGACATATGATATAAAACAGTCGTCAGATAAAAGGCTGTAGTTTGGACACGATGACGTCACTGCACGGGATTCCCTCCCGTTATTTGTGTATGCATCCCTTGCCCTGATCGCATATTTTCCCCATCCTTCATCAGCCTATTACAAATTCCCACTTTTACACTCTTCGGTATCATGTTGAAAGATTGTGTTTGTTTTGACTCATATGTCCTTTGTTTCAAGGTGTCAAGTGTGGATGAGTAACTGCATACGAGGTGTGAATTTTAAATTCCTTTGTACTTGATTTGCTCCGAAGGTGAAACAGCGCCACCTTGTGTCATCCTAAAATACACTACAGCGCATAATTCCCCGAAATATTCTCGATAGATTTTAAATACCTTTCGCCTTTGCCCACTTTTACAAATTTGCTACAAAGTGGAAGATTTGTTGCCACTTCTCTTTTAGGGAGCATGAAAACAGCGCCCTCTTACCCCTCAGCTCATGCTGCACTTTCTCCATTTCCTGGGCAAATACTTTTTAAAGAATGGTTTTAGTGCTAGTCTTGAGAGGCGACTATAGTCTGTTGATATGTCGCACTTAAAATCCTCCAGAGTTTCAATTTTAGTCTTCGTTCAAGTCTGATTACCCTGGCGTTTGTGTGAAAAAAAATCGGTGCCTGTGTTATTGGGCGCTGACGGAAGGGCAAATACATTACGTAAACTTTTTGTTTAAAATTCATTGGACAGAGTTCATTTAAAATCTCTGGTCAGGACTTACGTGTGCATGATACGTGAGTACTGAATGTATATGCGTTGATTAGGCATAGGACAGCAAATAATGCTTTATACGTTGGTACGGTACTTATGACTTATTTCCTTAAGACCTGTTCCCTTTTTAGCGCCCTGTGTTAAGAGCTAGTGGGGGTAAGCGAAATGATTCACAGCTACCTCCACAGGTTTTAATCTAGTTCAGTTCCTCTGTGCTCTGCGTTTACCGTACGTCTATGTCCTGATCAGAGCTCGAGCACGTCTGTGAGCAAGGCTCTGGAAACAGCGCCCTCTTCTGAGCCACTTTGAAGAGCACCCTCGTACTTCACTTCTTCGTAAACTTCACCCGTTTGCTAGCCGAATGAGCAGCCTTCTTCCACTTCAGTCGATTCAGGACCCACTCCTCCTCTATCGCACGGTGTTTCATGCCCTCTATAACTTAGATCCTCGCCTGCGTACTAAAGTCATTTTGTCCCCAACCCTCTCCTTGTACTCCGCTATCGAATCTTTCTCCATCCAACCCCTGATCTTTCTTAGTCTCTGATCTTGCCTTTTCTTTCTCGCCTCCTTCCCCTGCTACAGTCCACCACTAGCAGTCCGTGTTCGTGGGCTACCATTTTCCCAGGTATAACTTCGCTCCGCGACTGACCTCATGCAACTATACTTTCAGTATTTACTGCTGGTAAAGGTAATAAGTCCACAAGGGCCCCCGTGTCAGAGCGCGTAGCAATCTCTTGTAATTGGTTTGATTTGGGTTTGGTTTTCTGTGTTTTCAATACAATTTTCGCCCTCCACATCACGGGTCACCCAAATTTACAAGGAAACTTTTTTTTTTAATGTTGCCTCCCAAAACAAGAAAATTTCGTTCTGAAATATACCAACGGGAGACTTTGAGACGCTTGATGGCGGCAAAACATACCGATGTCCTTTCTACTAGTTCTGAGCATGCGCACGTTGTTCTTAGGGTGTTTAGTCTGGTTCCCTGCCCAAAGATTCGCTGATGGACTCTTGATAAAAAAATCTTATGTCAGACATAACCCACGGATATAAATAGATATGACGCAAGGGTCAGGAGTTACAAGTTGAGAGCCAGGGTGTCTTCGATTTCATCAGTGGCGACCTCCCCAAAATGAGGCTTTTTATTTACCATATCCGGTGGGTAATACTGTAAAGGTATTTTAATATTGTAGTAGAGTCAACAGTCGTCATTAGGTTTCGGAGGTTTACGTTCAACAGCTAGCCTACCTACCCAGCCGGGAATAACCGAACATCAACAGTACCATCCGAACATGCCGAATATAGACGGGACGACTTCGGAAGATTTCGGCTATTTCCGGAGAATTGGAGGAATTCCTCCAGTCTTGGTCACGTGGACAATGGGTGATACCAGACCCTTGAGAGTGTACCGCAGCAGACCAGTTCCCATAGACAGCAGTGACAAATCCCCATACAAATATTTAAAAAATACAACTCTCACAAGTGTTTAGGCTGCGCAGAAAATCGATGTTCGACATGTCCTTTTTCATTTTCCTTTTAATTTTTTGTGGATTGACCAATGAATTTTCGAGAAATTCTCACCCAAAGCAGACCACCCCTAAAATGAAGGAAATTTCACTGTCCAGGAAAAGTAGCCATATTGAAAATGCATCCCTCTGCAAAACGGCTAAAATAGTACCACTTTCGGACCCGATTGCATCCAAATTGCTCAGAATTGGAAGCCTTGAGTCCGGGCCAGAGGTTCAGTGCCATATTTCTTCCATTCCCCAGTTCCATGGCTCTAAGGATTCTCTAAAATAGAAGATTTTGAGGGTATAACTTTTAGTAATGAGACCGGTCTATTTATTTTGGTGCACCCTTGATTTGTTGAGTAGTCAGAATCATCGAGTCCGGTACCCAGACTATGAGAGCGTGTGCATAGTTCTGAGCACGCACAGTGCCCTGAAAAGGACCGGTATGTTTGCTGCCATCAGCGTCTCAAAGTCACCCATTGCCATATTTGGAGAGGAAATAATAAAAACACAACTCACAAACGTATGTGATTTTCGTCAACATATTTTTTTAATAGGGACACGTTAAAAATTAACAGGCACGATTATTTATAAAAACAGATCATTGTTTCTGGCTGAACCTACATTATTTCCCACAAACTATCGTTTTCCTTCTTGAATACTAACATTACTAAAGCTACATTCAAGAACGGACAAAAACGTAATGGTTACATCACAAAAAAGGCTGATTACACGTCAGCGCACTTACGTTTTCGTCTAAATGTCTCAACGGTCTTCTACCGTTTGAAGACGAGATACTTTCATGGTTTTAAGTTCTTATGTCCCAACAACTTTTTGTGTTAAAGCAATCAGATTGTCCATGTTCTCTAAATGTACAAATTGAAGGAGGTTCGTTTGGTTGCAAGTATTTCTCCCACGCAAGGACGTGTCTTTACAATGAGGTCGGGCAGGTTTTAAGGTGGAAAACAACGATCAAACCGTGCAGAAAAATTCTCCAGTACGACTTGACCCGTTCACATAACCAAAGACAGCAGTTACTCTTTAAAGCCACAACAGGAAATGCCGCATTCTGATTGGTCCACGATATGAGGACTTGAAAGAGTAATCCAATCACGATAGAGAGGTCAACCATGAAGCAGATAAGGCACACAATGTTCACTTTAGCACATTCATGTTCAACAAGTATTCGTTCGCCCAGAAATAAATATTTTTTAAATCCTTTAATTGAATGCATGTTACAAGAATTCTTAATAACACTCAACAGAACTTAACTTACTCGACGGAAAATGTTCTTCCTTTTAACTTTGATCTGTGAATTATCAAAGTACTTTCGAGGAACACTCACCAATACGTGCAGAAATCATAAGGTGTGTCTTTTATATTATGTCCAACAGGTCCTAGCTTTTGAAACTTCCATTAAAAGTAGCCAATATCCGGAAACTATAAAAGTGGAAATGCGAAAGCGATGCAGCGAATTTAAAAAGCATGATCAATGCAGATATACAGTTTGTGCATTTGTACATAAATAGATGGTTGTAAAACAATGAACGGCAAAAGGGGGGGGGTTTACTGTTCTGATTCATATAGACGAATCCACTGACCATGGTGACGTAATCACTGGTCATCTGCCGTGGCCCCCGCCAATGGCGGTGCACACTGTGATATTATTGTACGGAGCCACTGTTCGGGGACCCAACACAATGCATACTGCCATTAATGGCGCCGTCAAGAATGTCCAGTGAAACGTGGCTTGAATCGTCTATACCTAGGACTTCTTTCCGCCACAAGCTCGTCTTAAATGGAAACAAAGATTCTAACCTTCAACGTCACGACTGGTGGGCTAAAATAGAGCTGGAATTGGTAACCGCAATTCCAGCCGTCCATACAACTACAAACTAGTTTCAATGCAAAAAAGACGTACACGTTCCCTGAGCGATCCCTCGAATTTAGTTTCTTTTCTTAAAATATATATAAAACCCTGAGATCATTGTAGACAAAAATTCTTCTGGTGTTTAAAAGTATAAAAAATACAAAAATCCGGCTTTAATTTTTTTCCTGGTACATGACCTCACTCATTCCGTTCCGCGAGAGATTTCTCATTTTCAAAAAAAAAGTCCCCAAGAATGCTAAGCAAATAACTGTGACTTCAACGAAATTAATCTTCAGGAAACTATTAACGATTTTTCGATTTTCTTTACACCTATACGAAAGACCAGTATTCAAAAGGGAATGGCTACTTTTCAAATTGTCACCAGAACTTCGTAGTTTTCTGCTGTCCAAAGAAAATTAATGCAAACGGCAAACGGCCAATTTTAGCTTATGTCACTTACGAAGAACGATTGGCTAGTGACATAGATTCAGGCACTTTGGCATTATGTCTATGCAGCAAATAAGCATACATTATATTTTCAGACCTGAAAACAGCTTTAACAAGAAGAAAAAAAAGAATACAAAAGCTGCGACATAACTATTTCAACGTTGGCTCAAACTTCAACAAGTGAATCCAATAATGTTTCTTCGTAAAACTGAAGAAAAGCTAAACTCTAAAAAAATTACTTTCAAAGTCCTGCAGTTTACACGTTCAACATGCAAAACTGTCTTTACAGTACGGCACATATAATACCGATCATTTCTCACTGGCATCAGTTTTGGTTTGAAGAAACTAAAAGGCAGCAAATAGTATTCCAGACTTTTATCTTGTATGCAAACTTCAGAGGTATTCCTGAATGAAGTACACCGAGTAATGCAATGAAAAACAACCAACAATATACCAGATCCGTGATTTGGCCAAACCAAAAAACAAAAAAAGGACTTATAAAACGCTCAATAAACGTTGAAAAAACAAATTTTTAAATTCTAACTACAAACTGCAAACTTTTCTTCCTGAAAAGCTCCACAGCATCGTGCAGATTTGTCCACAAAAGATGTTTACATGGAAAATTGAAATAACATTAAAACGACTAAAGATCTGTTTTTAAAAAATTATAAGACTAGCATGGAATTTGTAGAAATGAGATTAAAAACATCATTCCTTCACATCGGAATGCAACTACAAAATTTACAGCAATCAGGTGTACACTGAAAACTCTGCGTGCCCATTTTTTACATTTGGAAGTTCAAGAAAAAGGTGGGGAAAAAGTAAAAGATGAAAACGAACGATGTTGTTTGAATGCCGAACGACGTTCTAGATCCATTTTGAATTCACTCGGTCAACTTCCCTTAACCACCTCCTTTATTGAAATTCTAAAAGCAATCTTCCAATGGGGACCCAGTGACTGGACTGTTGTGAAAAATGAGAAATGTCCCAACAAAAGTTATACGTGAGCATCCCCCAGAGGTGTCGCAGAAGTGGTTTGTCGTATAGTTGTACTGCACAATGAGAACAGAAGAAGTGACTCATTCCACTTAAAGATACGTGACGATAGAGGGCGATATTACAAGGCCAGGAACTGGCAGGGACTGTTGTCCTTCACAACAAAGACGTGTTCTTTGTCCACGGTCGAAACTTAAATAGGCCTATACCAAATGGTCCACAGTAACCAACGTAATACTGTTTTTGCCTTACAAAATTTAAATCAAATTAGCAGATTAGTTTGTACAATCACAGCCAGTGAATGAAATGAATAAAATTTCGGTCCACGTGGCTAAATACCTTGACTGAAAATATACCTTTTACTTTTGAGGCGGCAGTCGGGAAATGAAGGAAATGATAAATGTGGGTAACATCTACACTAGTTTTCTTATTAAAGGTTAGTAAGTTTTTCAATGCTACTACATATGACTAAGATAGTGCATAACACACCCGTATCTTAAAAAACGGACATTTTATAAAAGAACAGAAAGTTCTGTGCGGCAGCTTGAGCAATCATTTGTAAATTTCACTTGTTTAAGCCCCTTCGTTTCTAGAATGAATTCCTCCCGTCAAATGTCTGTCTTGTCAACCCCCATAGTTAGGTCATCGCAACATTAATTCGTCCAAACACCATTTACCCTCTTTAAAAAAGGATATTTAAGAAAATCGGTTCTTTTAAAAATAAAAAAATGCACCCTTTTGAAAGTCAACCTGAGTTTTTCCTTTTTCTATTTTAGGCATCAAAAACGTATCTCTTAGTCCTACCAACAGAGGGCGCTGTTCTACTAGCTCGTGCCGCCGCTGTCTGAAGATGTCGCCGCTGCTGATGTCGTTGCTGAGGTACGTGGTTCACCCGTGCTGTCTCCGTTGACGTCGGTGGGTTTCGCGCCGTTTCCCTGAGAACTCGGGGCGGGTTTGTCGGGGCAGTCGGCCACTAGGTGGTCTTCGGACTTACAGTGGTGACAACGCTTGGGCAAAGGAGGTTCTGGACAGTTCTTGGCGTGGTGACCCCGCTCATTACAATTGTAGCATCTAAACAGTACAGGAGAGAAAACAAGTCAGATCGCCAGATGCCTAAACCACATTCTTACAATAATCCAAATTCTTGCTTCAAAAAGGGAACGCTTCAGAGGGAGGGAATAATTTGACATTGTATAATATCGATCAATCCAATATAAAAAAATCCCTCTGATATGGAAGCCTCGACGTGCAAGTTTCTTCGTACTAATCTTCAAAACAACCAAGGGTGCTGGTATCAACACTGATATTAAAGCATCTGATTGGATAATTTCTATGCAAAAGTTCCACGGAAACTAGCTTACAATAATTATGCCTTGATTGGTTGACAAGCAAGAGACACAAGTGGGAGGGAAAATCAACAAGTAACCGAATGAGGGCGTGGTCAATAACTTCATGTCGCCATTATCAGACCAATACCTGTCGTCTCTTCTTCGACTACCCCTCCCTCTCCGCTTGCTCCCTTTACAGTCCACGCACCCCGGCCCGGTCACTGACACCGCCTCTCGGCCTTTATCCGAAATCTTAAAGACGAACTCGACCTCTTCGTTCAAATCCAGACTCCGAAAACCGCTCATCTGGATGCTTGACTGCATGGGGGGGAAAAAGAGGAAGCAATTTAAAAAAAAAAAGACGAACTTTTCACAGAACCCTTGCCAACTCGATTCTCGACCGAGATTAAACCTTACACCAGTTGCCAATGCCAAGCAAAATAATCCAATGACATCTTTTCATCAGCCTCATTAGCGTCTTGTTTTTACCCGCTTTCCGGAGCCTTCAGTAAACAGCTTCGGTTATGAGTAACATTTAGCCGTTACTTAGAATTCTCGACCAACGCCATCCGTCTTTCTCTCATTGGCAGAGTATCTCCCTGTCAAACGAACTGGGGTCACCAAGGCTTGAAAACTGAAAGTAGTCGGTGCATACTCGTGACTGCTCCATCGATGTTACCGTCTCTGATTTTATTACATAATACTGCATTATGTCAACAAGCTTAAATTTATTCCATTGTATCATTGCTATGATTGCAAACAGAAAGTATAGCTGGGCATTTGTCAGGCGCATCTGCAGAACTTTTGAAATAAATTCCCTTCGAACTTTTTCATTAAGCAAAACTTGGGGGGGGGGGGGGCTTGTGGGGGGATTTGGACAAGTTTTCATTTAACCTTTATGCATAGTCTCTATATGATGGGTGAGGCTACATTAATTTAGGGGGCTTTTTACACGCTTTGCGAGGAAGCGAATTGAAGACGACCAAAATATCACCTTTCTCTCCTTATAGAAAAAAAACAGGGCAGTGAAGACCAGTTAAAATTCCAATTCAAGTCCTATGACAATTTGCCAACCTAGGCTTTGGACGACCGATTAGAATGTTTGCGTTCTTATCAGTAGTTTAATATAGAAAAGACAAAAAGTCAAGTCCCGTACTGACCAACACTGACACCCTCATTACAAGAAACGGTCGGTCGGTCATCGACATTTTGTTGTAATCGGTTTCCGGTGCGTGGCGTGGGTGTATTTGGCGATAATGGTCTGCTATCGCCCTCGCATTGTTCAGTTTTGAGCTGCATCACAAATATTGGCGCTGGTCCAGTGACACTCGAGAGGGGAAAAGGGAGATGTCATTAAAGGGGAGGTGAGTTTGAGTGAAGTGTCTGTCGTATATGGCTAAGTGCATATTACATATCGATGTGTACATGCGTAACTAAGCTTTCAAACTGGTCAGACAGTACCCGCAGAGGGCGCTCTACTTAGAGCTGCACTCAAGCCTACAGCCGCACAGTATGCCTTGGATTCCAAAGACAATCATCCTCACACGAGAAAGAAACCTGGGCAAGATAACGCCATTCGGTGAATGATGCCACTCGACTTTCGTACCGGAACGACCGTTGGTCCCCATTGTTGGTCGTTTGCTTACCAGGTCAATGTAAAAAACTCCAGCATGCTCGAATGGTTACCAACTTTTGAGCATTACTGGAAATGCCGAAGGGTTAAGAACTTTGATTTTGTTCACGTCTCGGGTCCGCGACGATATTGAAATAAAAACAGCTTTTGTGCATAGCATGAAATGTTGAGAATCACGGCCATTGCTTTATTTCACTCGTAACAAAGGCCTTCCACTATCATTCATGAGGAAAACAGACAAGTATTCCATGTACTTGGTGAGAGTGATCTGTAACAAAATTGGTATCAACACTTTGGGAGCAGGAAACCGAAGTACCCGTACAAAATACTCTTGCTGTTAGTTTTAGAAGTTTGTGAAGATTCCTGTGATGTCCCATATAAAGGAATATCTTGCGTGGATCTCGCGAGGTAAAGTACGTAAATCAAAACTTATCGTTCATAAACCAAAATGTCATGCCGTATGATTATACCTTCCCTCGAGTTTACAAGTCAATACAGCGAAAATAAATGCGCCAAAAACATCAATGATTGCTGCAGGTTTCTTATTCGAAATCGGGTATCGTTACCCGCGCCATCATGAATCGTGGAAGCACCGGGGAAAAAGCGACGGCCAGTTTTGACAATACTGTCATGAATTACTGCTACTCAAAACTCATTAGAGAACAGCCTTTTCTGTTCGTTTCCCCAAGTTCCCCTTTAAGGTAGGCCATGGAATGCCTGCGGCTGGTGTGGAGGTTATGGCAGTGTCATGAACTGCCGAATGCTCCCGTCTAAGTTCAATGTCTTCAGCGCGCTGAAATGCCACGAACTCTGCATGAACCCCACCGGTTGTCACCCTCGATACTACTCCAAGGGAAACCCCCTACAAGACACAGTGGAACCGGCTCACTCAAGCGTCCTTTTTGGAATGCTCTGGTGTGGCCTGAAGCGACATTTCAAGATGAGGGGGTTTGGGAACGAAGGAGGGGATCCTACAGCGCAGAAAAAAAATTCAGCTGACACAATTTTTGCGATATTGTTTGGCGGGATTTGATGTATTTGTTGAATCCATATCATGGTCACTATTGGGATGATCTGCAATTTTGAAGGAAAATTTCTTTTGGTGGAACGCAAGGAACACAGAATTCAATAACGCAGAAATTTGTTCCTACTCTAAACCGTCTGTGAAAATACTTCCATTATTTTTTCATCGCTCACAAACCAAACGGAAACTATGTATATTGTGTTCTCAGCTCCTAAAATGTCACACACACGCTTTATAGACAGCAACCAAACTCATAAAATACGCAAGGAACAAATAACGTAGAATCCCAAAGGCACGCGATGGTAAATGACCGACGATGAACCTATGTTGCAGCCAGGAATAATTCGGATTAAACCACCGAATGTCACTGAAAAGAACGTAAAGATAACGTGCACGCAGTCTTTATAGTGGCTGAAAGGATAAGCCAAATCAAAGTTGACGACTGTTGGATGCACAGTGGTTTAGAAAAGAAGTCCAAAACACGTCATAAATACAGCATGTCAGGCAGCCTTAACGACTTTAGTCCTCCCCCCCCGCCAGCCTTACAGGGTGCGCCCAGAAGACCTTTTGCAAGTTCTTGTGAAGGAAATACGTCACAGCTACCGGCGCGCAAAGCATTGTGGGTTATTTGCCGTCTTGATCAACACATGAATTTTCAGTGTGAACGTGTCATGCGCACGCAGAACTGTTGACCCGTGTTATCGTTTATGAACTCTGTCTGAAGAGTGCTCGACAAAATGGCGCATGCATTTGTCATGTCCAGCGTCCCGTAAGGGTAAAGCGGGGAAAGCAAACCTAAACCAGTCTCAGCCTAGTCGATTCTGTTGTCCATGCGCGGGGACATGCCGCTAGAGCCGTCGGGCTGGAAGCCTGTTTTGGACATGGTATAAAGACAGACAGCTCCTGCCTTGCTGGTTCGCTTGTTATTATTTCACTTGAAGGATCGCTGGCTTTAATAGTTTAACGACGATTCTTTCACACTTTAAACGTCGAGAGCGTGGTTCGCGGAGATCTTAACAGCAATGGCTCGATCGTGGATTTGCGACATGGAGGTAACACTCATCCATCACGCACTCCACATCTACGTGCCGTTCCTTCCTCGGGGATCCAACCCCGAAGCCCACCAAGGGATCTAACCCGTGATCCACCCTTCGCCTCCGCCGCAATGCCACCCCTCGTTCCGAGAACCGTTCCCCTTGCGTGATTCGCGATTTCTGACAGGTCCACAAAGTTGTGGAGGGGTAGGGTGGCTGGAGAGAGTGCCATGTGTCACACACTGAGTCCCGTCAGGGCATTTGGCTGTCGTGTCTGTCATACAGAAGTAGAACAATTAGCGGAGAAAGTTAGCTGAGAAAAATCTGGAAACAAGGACTTAACAGGAAAAGATACCCCTCAACACGAAGGTTACAAAAACTAGGGTAATTGTCTCATTAAACAGACGGCTCTTTCATGGCGCTATGCGTCAACTGTTTTCCCCAGGGTGAGCCCAGGTTTTACCTTCTCGCGGATCGACGGGGAGGTGTGACGACACGAGACAGACTAGCTGGTCGGAGTGATGACCTTTGACCGCATCCACTGACAGCGGGCCATCAGCGCGAACTTTGTTGCACGGTGCTTTGTATGGCAAAGCGCAGCGGCTACGAAGATGCTCGGGTCTTTCATTTCGTTCAGGGCTTGCAGTCGTGTGTAGTAAACACCGGTCCAGTGATTGTCGGTCTGTATGACTGCTTATTAATTTTCCGGAGCGAAGGCCGAGAAAAAGTGTCAAGTGCCTGCTCAAAGAAATAATAACAGGAGAACTGCAAAAACTCCAGTGTTTATTTAGAACTCTCTGTGTTATGAGAGGACTGGGTGTTACCATAGGGTGTAACACCAATTCAACACCACAATTTTTACATTGAGCAGTATTACCTACAAGGGGATTTACAATAGCTATGGGGGAAAACCTACTACAAGTGCGTGACACGACCCATTGTTGCTACTTGGAACTTCCCTTGACCTTTAAATATTGGTACTGGTGATTATCGCATTCAAATCCAAATGTGCCCACATTGGTGCAACATGCACTGGCCAGCCAGCGATGAAAGGTCAACGGGGTCAGCCCCGAATGCCTGTGCCGTGTCCTTGGGTCAAACAGGGGTCATGACACCGTGAGGAGGGAAAAAAAGGAACACATACGGCCCCAGGGCTTTGTCCAGAGGAATGTTCGGAATCCGGAAAAGAAAAGAGGCAAGTCAGGGACTTGTACAATCCCCGCGCTTACCCGACCACCCACGAAAGAAACATCCCCGAGCAAGCACAAAAGATCTGACGGCAAGAAGAGAATGTTTTCTCACTATGTGGCGCAGGCGGATAGCAACATCCACTATGGCTCGACTTGAATAAAGGAGGGGGCGGGGTCTAGTTAAGACGGCTGTTGTTATCGAGAAAGGTGGGCAGAAACTATCGGACTATCGATCCATCCCGACACAGGGGGTGCGTTAAACGGGCAGTCTGAAAAAGACACAACACTTAAAGGAGTAGTCCCGTAATTGCGTGCTTCTACGATCCCATGCATGAAGCACACGCCATCTCCAGTGTTCGTTACGAGACAGTATCGAAGAAAACATACCAGGAAATACAGATAAGAAAGCTTGGCATAAAAGATGGAATTAAGTCACTCTAGCTTCGAAAAATGTGAATTTTAACCCTACATTCACATACACGTATCAACCTCCCGCCAAATGTCAGAACACAGATAAAGTCTAAAGTCGGATTCCGCTGGCATTATGACGAAGCAGCATGTGCGATAAACAACAACGTTTCTCCGATGAACGATCACATTCCCTGCAGTAAAAAAAATTGGAACTAAAAGCTCAGCGGTCCTCTGTTTTGTGCATTTTGCATTTTTCCCGGACCCCTTTGGGGATTAGGCTGGCATGCTTCATGCTTGAAACATGGGCACATCCATCGCTAATATGTGTCAACAATTCAGTATTGTTGCATTTCTCATTAAAAAACATTGGATGGTATCATCCGTGGATGCATCAATTAAGTACGAGCAATGAAGTAAGTCATCTTGTATGAAAAGAACTTCGCAACAAGTTTTTCAGTCCAATAATCTTGTAACTTTACATGCAAAGTGAGACAGCTTGTGACTCACGAGTAATGTCAAAACTGTAAAGTTCAACACAAGTTCAGTTTTGAAAGCTCAAGTTGTCCCCGTTAAGACATGCATTTATCAGTTTGTTCACGACATCCATGGCAACGGAATACATCAATACATGTACTGGGACAACATCAATGGGCAATTTGAATGACTCATCTTCAGTTAACAAGCTGGTCACGCGACGACTTCTCACCGGTTATTTCTTTAGGTTTAGTGAAGACGTTTGCCAACCGTGGTTCAATCGATGCAGTCCAAGATGGTTTGCAGCTAGCACTAGACAACGGCTGCGTACGAATGACTTGGCTACGGCTTTAGATAACGCATGCAGGCGTCTCCGGGAAAAGTGCAAAGCCACTGGCTGGCGCCCTTCACAGGTTATATTACTTCCGTCAGCAGCCAAGAATGTTCGGGATCCGTCCATTCCAGGCCAAGGTACAGGGGCTGGTTACCAGCAGCCGAGGGTTTAAATATGCATTAAGCACCTGAAGCAAAAGATACATGGCTCCCTGTAGATAGTCATCAAAGGCGAATCCAGAACCAGATTTTTGGGGGGAGGGCCAAACTTTTTCGGAGGGGTCAAAAATATTGGACATTTTTTCATGCAACCTGTCTGCGCCTTTCTGTGGTATGAGACTACATTTTGAAGCTTTTCACACGCTTTTGCAAATCACTTTTTCCTTTCTCTCATTACAAAATATATACTTATATAAAATGGCCTTTTTGGAGGGGTGCATGACCCCCGCTGACTATTGGTTTGCATGCCATAATTAGAGAACGAAAAGAATTCTATTCACAAAAGTGTTCAAAAATCTTTGACAACAGTAAAACACTGCACAAATAAATAGTTCTACAAAATACGACATGAAAATGTGTTTCACTTTTAATACATGTACTTTTGAAGCAAACTGTGCATTGCATTGTGAGGCAAATGTTGGTGGAAACCAAGGACGAACTGCGAACTTTGGCGCCTCCCCCCAAAAAGGCAGTCAATTTTTGGAAACGAAACAAAGGTCTACAGTAACAATCAACAAAGCTATTTGCCACTCATTTTATCCTTAACTGATCTCCCAACTTGCTCGACGTGGGATTGGTTGCTAGCTGGTTTCCTGTCAGCGGCAAGAAGATATCCTCTTCAAGTTTGTGAGAATGAAGACACCTCCAAATATACAAACACCATTGGGTGTTTCAATTCCTAACAAAATAGTCGGTGACCATTTGGATATTCTGAAGGAGGATTTCCTACAATAATGGGTTTGTGACCGCTCCCCTCACCTGGTAGACGAAGACATCTCCGCTCTTGTCATCAGGCGTGATAAATCCGTACCCTTTGGAGACGTCGAACCACTTGCACCGTCCGCAGCACAGCTTGCCCTCCTCGGCCGTTGGAGACGCCCTGGAGCCCGGGGTTCCCGCCGATGCTGCCGCTGCCACCTCGTCTCCCGTACCATCTGAAAGAATAATCAAGAACAGTTTAACTTGAACCGAAATTTCCGTTGTTTCAGCACACCACTGAGATCTCCAATCTCCCGAGAATGAAACTTGTTCAACAGTATTCTGACAAACACAAAATGCCAACATCTGTGATAATTTCCACACAGCTCCCAAGAACACCAAACAAGCAGATCGCAGACAGGAACTCTGAAGGGAAAAAAATTTGCGTACTGTGTGCTTCACTCTGAACGAGTTTCGGTTTGTCCATACTTACCAAGCATACTACGCGATATTCTTTGCTTGCCGAACTCTACGAAATAAGTGCGCGATGTTCATTTCCACTTGTACGCGCGTCAAGCCATCTCTTGTCCAGTCCTGAGAAGGGAAGAATGGACAGGAGGTTGCGGCGTTCATAAAACACCAGTCAATTTGGCAAAGTAGGTGTCCACCTTTTTTTTCCGCACGCTGATATTGACCTTATCGTTGAAACATTCCAAATGACAAATTGATAACGATAGTCTGTTTGAACGACTACAAACGAGGTCACTGGCCCTGCATTTTGCAAAACCTTACAAACAAAATCCAATTTTGACTTTCAGCATTGAAGCAAGTGATATTCGCGAAGCGACATCCCCCAAACCACGTATCCTTATGTCATTGTGTTGGACAGATATATAGCCATTCTTACTAACAATTCACTAATCGATTCAATTCAAAACGACTCAAAAACATCACAGGATATACTATACACAAATGTCTCAACCAGGGGCGGGTCCTGGATTTTGTTACTGGAAGGGTAGGTGGGAAAGTTTTGTATATTTGAAGCGAGAAGATATGGGACGAAGAGCACCCCCCACCTTCATGTAGATCACTGTTTTATTGGAATCTCAGGAATTCTGTTCAGACATGGGGGGGGGAATTGGGTAACGATACTCTAGGGTGTGTATAGGGATTGGACATGGGGCGTTGCTGGGTATATTTTTGTTCATGGGGGGAGTCGTCGCCGTTGGTGACGCCACTTAATTTGTTTGTTTTGTCCTTAACCGTACACGCAAAATAAGACCCCATACTTGATGGATTATGGATCTTACAATCTTTAGACGTAGCCACCCCAGCAGGGAGTTCAACCCCACGCCCCACCCTAGATCCGTGCCTGTAAACGTAGTATCCTTTTCAAGCAGTCGTGGATGATGACGGATTGGAGAGGTGACTAGCCAGCTAATAGGCCTTCTTTATTTATCTATTTTGTTCATGTAATCTCTTCAGTTGAGGGGACAAGAGGGGGAAGCCTGGGGATCCCTCCCCCAGGTGTTTATTTGTTTCTGAAATAGGAAGATACAATATACACCTACATCTTAAATTACACTCTTTGATATAGCCTTGAATTCCAGTCCCCTGTGGCAACGGGGAGGGGGAACCGCGGGAGGGGGCCCCTGGAAAGGGGGCCCCGGGAGAGGGGCTTGAGCATCGTGAGCTATTTTTTTGGGTAAATGCCAGTCTAAGTCTCCCTCCACGACAAACAACATTCCGACAATGAGACAACTTTGTGCTTATAATCAGAAAACAGGTCGATGCTTGCCCTTTAGAGACTGTGGTGAGCAGCCTCGAAACGATGTACACCAGAGTGCTGTTTGTATAATCGCGACGAACAAAATAAATACTTCGGAAATCGCGCTTATTAATCCGGCATTAAGACTGCAGATTTATTTTCCGCTGAGACCTGACGAGAAATAAAAGGTCGCATTGTTTGCCCACGTCGTACATGTATACCTTAAATCTCCGGACATTTCTGCACCGTGAAAGGATTCAACAAAATATGAAATTTGGCTTACGGGAAGTTGTAATGCAGGACGAGAAAAGTCCGTGGGCAGATCAGAGCCGACGAGGAAAACGGAGTCCTCTCTCCGGGGACGGGCTTAAAATCGTGTTCCCCCCCCCACGATATTTTTCCCAAATAAATTGTCTCTGCATAGAGAATGAGTGATACTTTTGGACTGTATAATATGTAGATGTTCAAAAGCATCCAAACGCGTGCACATCGCCGAGAACAAGTCCGTGGGCTAAAAAAGGAGCGCAATATATCTTTGCAAACACCGGACATCCGATTGCAGTCCCTGTGCGCTGCCCGACGAACGGAAATATGACCTACCTTGCTTTGGATAAATCAAGATGGATAGGAAAAAAGGAAAATAAATATTCCAAGTAGCTGCCATCAACAGCTATGAGCAAACACGTCTGTGTGCATCGAGTCTTCTGGGCTAATGTTTCACTGAAGCTTCTTGAAGCCTTGATCTACTTTACAGACCTACCTCCTTGAAACCACACCTTCAGTTTTCGTTGTGTGAAGATAGAACAATTTCAATATTTGGTCAGAATAAAATGGAAGCGTCCGTTTATAAACTTGGACCTTGGTCGAAGGTCAGATGGACAGCCTTGCTTTAAGGCAAAACAGAAACACGCCAGTTCATCAAATTAACAATCTACTCAAATCTCAAAACAAACCACATTTTTCTCTTGAAGTAAAATGAGACACATCCTAAAACATTTATGGTATGTTGTCGCAGTAGGCCAAGTAGGGGCTTCTTTGGGGAATAAATTCCTTCCAAAAAGGTAGCAGTTGTACTCGTCACGCATTTTTACAAAAAGAAGTCAGGTTATCGCATTTTTTTCTTCCTTTTTTATCAAAAATTCCATTGCCAAAAGTCACGTGGCGAAATGGTACGTGATATATAAGTAATATCGCTATCAGTAAATATCAGCGATACTTTTTGTTTGTTTCGATTCGGGTGGTTTCTTTTTTGTTTTTGGGGTATTTTTGGTTTTTTGCATCTTGTATGTTCGCTTCTTTGCTGTATTTCATACCAGCCGAGAACAGACCACTGCAAAGGCCAGATTTTTACCGAAGTTTACCGTTTATGTTTAAAAAGGGTTAATTTGGACTTCAATTTATTGCCAAAAAAGGTTGCTTTAATATCAGTCTTAAGTCAACAATGTTAACGAATGTCGGCCTATTCATAGCATTGTCACAAAGGCCAAAAAGAGTGGGATGTGCGATGCAAATACATGTATTGCGGTAGACCTACGTTTCTTGAACACCCCACAAAAAAATACAGCTTTGCGGCTGGAGTCGAGTCTATCGGAAGAAAGACATGACGACTGTTACATGTCATCAGTAACCAACCGTTGTGGCTTTTTACTCTGTCGTTTCTAGCTTTCCTGTTTTGGGGGGGATTCTCCAAAGCGGAAAGAGTTGGCTAGCTGAAGCAAATCCTCCACTAGTTTAAAACATAAATGTCCATATTGCAGCCAAAAAATAAATCAGAAGAAAAAAAAGCTGAAAAATAGTAAACTTAGAGAGCTGATGAGGTAAATAACAAAAACTTAAGGTGAAAGCTAAAAAACCAGAAAAAACAACAAACAAACGAAGTCCCAGGTAAACCAAAAGATAAATGAGACAGCATAGTTTTTTCTCTGAATACTTTTCCTGAAGGCCAGCTGAACACCTTCATCGAAGATTTCTGACGTTATTCTCCAATCTCCTTTACTCGAAAGCGATTTTTTTTTCAGTTCGTGTGGACGTTACGGTCAGCTGCCCACCATTTTGTGAAATCGTGAAGCATCTAACCCATTCGAAAATCACCGGCCTTCGACCGCTCAATCCCGCTCCACATATAAAGCAAGATATGAGACGAAGAGAACCCCCCCCCGCTTTGTGTTGGTCATTGTTTCAGTGGAATCTGAGGAATTCTTTTCAGATAGGCCCATTTAGGGGATGAGTTAGGTAACAATAGTCTCGAGGTATAGCGATTGGACATATGGGGGATACCCCTCTGTCTCATTTCTTGCCTCCCGCCAGTATTTTTACAATTCCTATAGCTGACCTCGGCATGTGACAGGTGATACATTACATGCATTAGTTCATGCGCTGGTCAGCAGGTGTCCGGTTGGCTAAGCCATGGCCGATGGGGGGTGCTATTTGGTCATTTTCGACCAGGGCCGCCGATTACCGCGCATGTGCGCACGGACAATATCCTTCAGAATCACATCTAGAAAAATACTGCTATATCATCACGTGTGCGTTTCCATCACCTCTGATGGAAGCCGAAACTAGCGAAAAATCTTCCCGCGAGAATCCTTCAGTCACGCAACGCGGATCCAGGGCCACGTTATTGGCCTGGCAGGTTTCAGATAACACGCACGTTGTGCGTGACCTCGCGCCTGTGTAAAGTGATCAACCTTCGCTACCTTTAAGAATTAAACGCTTCCGGCTTAGGTTTGGTGCGTAGATTTCAGATTTTTAGTGCCGGGACTTGCAAAGCTTTCCGCTGAGGTACAAAAGAAATAGGTGCCGAAGTAAAAAAAAACGCTGCTTTTATTCCTGCCCGAAAGCCCCATGGTGCTCTAATAAAAACGAACTGGAGAATACATACCTCGTACAAACGAACTTTGGAAAAATTTACTTCGAAGAAATGAAGTCGGAAAAAAATACACCTCATAGAAACGAACTTTGAAAAAAATATTCTTAATTTTTTGAAAGTATATATTTAATGGCACTACACGGCCTTCGTATTCTTACGAAAGTGTGGTTGTTCATGTTTTTCCATCGTTATACAGCTACCGTAACTTGACGAGGCGTGGGCTGGACATTCCTCTTAGCTCAATTACATTTTGGCGTCTCGTTTCTTCTGGTTTCTATCACTTTGCAGGAAATTCAGTTTTTAAAACCACAGAAATGCAATTATCGTGTTCTAATGACGCGCCAGGAGATTCGTCACTGGCAACGCGTGGTGTTCCACAAAACACATGAATGTGAAGTCATCGACCTCAGCGGCTCAACAGGACACAAAGGTCTTGAAATGAAGACTAGTTACTACCATTACTACAATCAAAGTCATTCTTAAACCAAAGAAAACTCTACAAAAGAAAAGTTACACCAGCTTTTCACAAATCCAGTCGACGAAGTACCCGTGGCCTCTGACAAAACCACAATTTAGAGAAAAAATCAACACAAGCTGTTTTGGTAGGATGCTTTTTGACCTAAACAATCTCTTTGACCTTTACATGCGTTTTGACCTCTCTTCTCGTCCTCTCAGGCTTGACTTTTGGGCCTTGGATCACAGCCAAGCCATTGGCTTAGGTCATATTTTTAGTTGAGGTCATGTCGTCCCAAGATGCATGCAAATCAATTCCACGCGGTCAAACTTTCCAGTCTAGTTCCCACAGTAGCCTACAACACAATGAAAACAAAGTACACGTGTATTTATAGACAGATGACCGACGCTAGAAAAAGTACTTGCCAGTTAAATTGTCATTCTCGCCTGGTTTTTCTTGTCCTGTTCGATGGAAGAGACAAGATAGTAGCGACCTGAACTTCG